ATCTGGAAAGAGAAAGAATGAAGGATTTTGGAAAGAACTTTCATTAGTATTGTACACAAGACAATTCTGAAATGGCATCTCCAGTTGCATTAACTCTCCTGATGCACAGGAGGTTTTCTATACCCCATTGTCTGTAACATTGTGTTCACATCTCCCTGTTTTTTTAAGCAAGATGTAGAGAGTCAATTACATAAATCCACAAGCTCCCTATGAGGTGTTAAATCTTTTGCTGGCAGACACTAACATAATGTATAGATTGAAAAAGCAACAAAATCAAGCAAGCAGTGTTCATCCACAGTCCCCACTTGCAGCATGTTCCTGGGCAATTTGTACTATGGGTCTATAGTTTAAACTTACAGAGAAACTCTTGGATCATTTCTCAAATGTCAAGAAAACCATACAGCCTACATCCCCTGCTTTCTTTCACCCTTTAACTTCCTCCTCCTGAGATAATGAAATGTATCATATAAAAAAACAGTAAATTCAGAAGACCTCAGAAATCCTGACACTGTTTTGAAAGAAAATAGGATGAGAGAATGCGTCTTCTCTAAACCTCCCCCCTCCTGTCATTACCAGTGCTTCGGAATATACAAATAGTATATATTGAATGATAGGGATAAAATTTATAAGGACATTCCAAGGACATTCCTGACCCCTGTTATCTGGCTGCAGTCATGTGCACCAAGTCAGCAACAGGCCTGGGAAAAGATGCTGGTTTGCCAGATACTGTGATCCAGGGTGAGACAAATGTCCCCAGATCGCATGGTAAGGGCTGCAGCTCCAACTCTCCTAAGCTAGGAACCTTTAAAAAAAAGAAAAAAGTCTTGGCACTCAAAGGAGCCAAGACTGGCAAAGAATCAGCCAAACTACAGCAGCATTAACCCCTCATGCACTGGCAGGTATCCTTCCCATGTAATCTAGTGGAATACAAAAACGGTCTCATAAACTGCAAACTGGGAGAAAGGAAAGGACACACTTGACTGCAAGCTACTGTTACATTTTTTGGCAAATTACAGCAATAATAATTAACAGGCTATATGAATGATGGCAGCCTCTTCTTACCAGTAAATATCAATTAAATTTAAGAAATGCATGTTCAGCAGAAAGAAGAAAGGGCTCAAACAGCTGACGAAAAGCCAAAAAATGGCCATGAAAGCAGGAGAGGCTGTATAACTCCTTGACATACCATTTTGCTGAGGTTAGCTCTACAGAAGGCGTCAAAGTTGTAAGCAAAATAAGTATGTGCACTAACCTCTGTTTTCCCCCACAGGCTTTTAAGCAGCAATTTAAAAAGAAGCTGTGAAATAAGATCCTTGTTACTTCCTACAGTTTTAAGAGCTTAGAGTACTGCAGCCACCCCCAGTTCAGCATTCCTGAGTCAGCAAAACTATGTGATGGCTTATGTGACAAGTATATTGGAAATAACATTTGGTCCTCTCTTCATTTCCAGTTTCTGAATCATTAAAGTTTCTGCTTTCAAGCTTTGTGGCTGAATACATATTTTGGCAGTTTTGCCTGGTTTTGGCTGGTCAGAAGAACGTTCAGAGTCTTGCATGATCATTTGGCTGTGTGAGCTATGACCTGATGACATTTCTTGAGATTTATGGAGGGAACTGCAATAGAGAGCAGGATTGAGGGAGGAACAGTAGTTAAAACGATCCTTGTTAATAACATCAGCTGCAAATCTCAGTGTCTGCTGCTCGCCAAAGAGGTGGTTTCAAGTTCTAACCTGTAGCACTGCTTCCATTGCACATATAAGCTGTCTACCAAAGATAGGGAGATAAACCTCGCCAGATGGAGAGAAATCTATTTAGCTTTATGCTTAAACTGCACAATAGATTGACCTTAAACTGACAGAAGAATCGGCAGAGAAACTTATTTGAGGCAATGCTGGGGGAACAGGATTGCATTTCCACTAAAAACAATGTCAAGTAGCAAAATCTGATGCAATGTGTTTGAATTAATTTAGAAGAAACAGATTAAATTCAAATGGCATCTATGCTTGTGGCATTGGCATTGCTTTTGAAAGCTATTTTAAACTTTAAGAGGATGTATATGTATCTGTGCATGCATGACTTAACATGATGCTGGTGGCATTCCAATAAAGTCAAGCCACCAATTCTTGAGTTTGGGCCGTATCCAGAGCTCATTAAAATCAATGACAGGCTTTCCACTGAGTTCAACTCTTCCTATCATAGCCTGGGCTTGCAATCTGGTGTACAACAGGGACTACAGTCATACTGCTTTGTCCCCTGTGTGACTTACTGCACAGCCTGATGTTCATGTTACATAACTAAAGACATCGAGACCAACCACACCACGTACACTGTCCACAGCTCAAACATAAGGATTACTGAAAATCCTCAGGAAAAAAATAAAAATAAATCAACTCCCCAGTCTGCTAAACCAATGTGTACTTTACTTTCATTTATATAGAGAGACTTCATATAAATAAATATGAACGAATCCCTAACACTTCAACAGTATCACACACAGTAAGTGTTCTGGTTAAAGCTGTAGTGGATTTTAGCAGAGATTAAGCAGTAATGACTAAAGATGTGTTTGTTGGTATTAAATGTATTAGACTGTCTCCCACGTACACAAAGGATTGTTAACTGAGTGCCCACTTTCACAGCTGTTCAAAACTGTGTAACATCTTAGCCCTTCTCTTAATGCTTATGCACGATCCCAGTAATTGCACTTGCAGCTAGTGCTTTCTTGTGAAATATCCTAAGCAACCATTGGTCTCAAAATGGATCTATTTAGAATCTAAAAAATTAGGCCCATATTAAGCAGGTCTTTGGATCAAGTACAATTTCTCATTTCTTCTTTCGCTGTCATACATCTTTTGGTAGAAGAAAATACAGCTGTGCATTTGTCTGCAGCAAATTCTCTGACGGGTAAATTAAGACACATTTCAAGTGGAGACAAACACTAACTTTGAAGCAGAAGTCAATGCCAGTAAAACTTCTTAAGCTGTAAAACTTAGCTTTTACTGGTTAAGTCTGCACTTACTGGCTCCCAGGAAGACTAAAAAGAAGTCTAAAAGGGAATCTACTTCCCAAATGTCTGAATACAGCCAAAAACCTGTACTGTAAGTTCCAAAGGACAAAGAGTTTTGAGTCATCAAATCTGTACCAGGCATATCTCCATCTTTGTGGTCACAGGAATCTAGGACATTTCATTGACATGAAACAACAAACAGCTTAAGTGGAAGTCTTCCAACTCACAATGGTCTAAAAAAACCAGAGGAGTTTATTTTTTGGCTCATGTAACATCCAAGTAACTTGGTTTTGCATAGTAGAAAAAGCATTTATAAACATACATAATTGCATAAATCTATCTCTATACTAAACTTGAGTCAGTCATAAGAAGGTAAGAAACAGTCCTTTGCACTTTCTTACACTACAGTGAGTAAGAACTAAGCCAACTTTGAATTTTGCAGATATAAAACCAAATTCGCTGTTGGGCTGGACAGTCCTGGAATGCTTGCAAACCTTACACCCTACCTGTGCAACAGGGCTGCATTTTTTTTATGACTATGTAGGAGCTCATTCTGGAGAAGTGTAACTGTGTTGACCTTGTGATAAGTCAGATACTGAAAGAGATAAGCAATTTCACTAAGTCAGTGTAACTTTTCAGGTGCAATATTCTTCAGAAATTGGCCTGAAGCACTAACAATGTACTGGTCTGTATGTATAACTATATATAGCTTATATAGCTAAAGGTCCAAACTATAAACAACTGATCAACCAAACAGTGCAAAGAGTGACTCTATACCCATGAAACCACTGGATTAATTTTTCATTGTATCTGTTTTAAAACAGAAAGACAAATATGTATTTGCATTTTGCATCTTATATCTGCAAAGCTACTGAAGTCCTACTTATCATTTATTATATTGTATGAGAGAAAAACTAATAGAAAACTCACATTCATGAAGCTGTTAATAAAAGATAACGCCACCAAACTCACTCTTCTGTTTTAAAACTTCCAAACAGTACACTTCAAGTTACCTTCAACCTCCTTCAGTTTCCACCAAGTATCAGGACAACACAGTATAAAAGATCTACAGTAAGTGTAATCTCAAACAGTTCAGAATATGTGTACTGGGCTACCTCCTTCCAGTTCTCCAATCTGCCACACCAGGTCTGAAATTAATAGAACCCCATCCAAAGCTGCATCAGACAAGCTCTGATGATTGCATGGGTCTAGGCAGAGGAATCCACTCACACAGAGATCTCCGTAGGATGTGGTGCAAGGACATGGCACAAGAAAGCAGTTGGGCTAGACCATGCAAAAGATGGGAGGTAGTTTGCTGGGGTTCTTGGATACTCTGTGCTCATGCCCTACCTGCAGCTTGTTACCTGGATGAAAGCACTTGGCCTTACATGGGCCACTCCTACTTCCACAAGGTTAGTTATCATAGGAAATTCATCAAAGTCCTGACACGATTGAGGCTTTACTTCTGTGTACAGCTGTTTGTAAGATCAAGCTCTTAAACTATGGAGTGTATGAGCAAAATAATCATGAAAGAAATGACACTGTCTTTTCATTCTACTAAAGGTTATGGATCTGATCTGCTCTCTTTACAAGACTCTACTAGCTCTCTCACATCACCGCTGCATACTCGCTCTGAAATCACACGGACTCTCCCAGTCCCCAACACCAGTATTAAGACTTCACATCTGGGAAACAGCCAGCAATTCCACTAATGATGCAACAGAAAACATGAAGTTCCAGCTCATATTAATAACCGTGACAACTTCAGCTAACTAACACAGGCTAAAAAAATTGGTTTAGGGCAGAAAACGTAGAGATCTGACACTGAAAGCCTCCAAGTCTGTAAGTTAACAATAAGGAAGGCAGTTTAGCCCGACAGACCCCACATTAGCAGGAGGAGTAAGCAGACGTTAGCCAGCAGTCGGTGAGTAAAGCATTTGAACAAAGAGCGCATCACAGAAAGCTCACGCCGCTCGCGTTCGCCACCGAACACCCACTCGTTAGCGTTATGCCGTTACTGCCGAGCACGGAGGGTTCCGCCTGTGCAAAGCCCGACCCGAGGAGGTCTCACCGGCACGGCCCCGAGGGGCAGGGAGGCCGGGAGCAGCGGGCAAGAGTCCTCTCCCCCCAGGGGCAGCGAGTACGGAGCCGCCCGGGCTGGGGCTGTGCCCCCTCCCGGTTACCCCCTGCCCTCCCCGTCCC